ATAAGATAGAAAAAAATACAGAAAAGTGGCAATAATCCAATTTAGAAGCTTCAGTATGCTATAAGGGCCACTAACAACTTCTCTGAAGATATTTAATGAAACGTGAGATGTTAAATGCAAATTCTTCTGCACTTCAGCAAAGAATGGTTTGAAGCACGTCAAGTTTAATATGGTTCTTACAGAAGTGAACATGAATATATTTCTCAGTTAGGAGAGAAAAATAGTGGCTATTGAGAGTTCTGCATATCAGTGAACAAGGCACTTCAAGAAAGGCACTTACTTTTATATACACTGACAGGCTGAAACATATCATAGAAATAATATGCTTCGAGGGAAGGCAGTCCATATAAGTGTTGTCATGTACTGCATGAATTGTCATGTATGAAAGGTCACTCTTAAGTGTACTTGTACAAATGTAAAATATTTCACCAAATATCACAGTTTAAAGTTAAACTAGACACAATGACAGCCTCAACAATTGAAAACCTTATTTAATACAACTCCCTATACATATGCATCAATGAATGAATTAATTAATAGAATTCATCTACAGTATTTTTCTATTCATCCATTCAAGCAGCTGCAATGACTTGTTTATTCCGTTCATAACCAGCAAGGTACTATTAACACATACAAAACAGAAGGCCAATTAGATAAATATAATCTAGCTTTACATCAATATAAAACAAAACAATTTAAAATAAAAGCTAAGGTCTAAATCAGTGGTTCTCAACCTGTATAACCTCAGGATCCACATTTGTCCTTGGTCATTATAATTCACGACCCAAGTCACACCACACTGGAACACACAGCATTGCAGTACCACATGTTCCGTTGCAAGTGATCAAACTGTGAGCGGGAGGTGTGTTTGGGGTGCCATTCAAATGAATTGCAACGCAACGCACCTCCTGCACCAGAATGAACAGTACATAAACGGTACAATTGCGTGGTAGTTTGCGATTAATACACAGACAGACAAACATAACCACAGATACAATCTCACACACTCAGAGACATTCTCACACACATACATATGGGTACAGTGTGGGCTTCGTGCTGTGACGAAGCTCTATCCATACGTGTATTGCTTGTACAACCTGTACAGGTTTCAAGAGCCAGAATGTGATGTCACTCTGGTCACACAAAACACTACCGCTTTGTGTGAATGAAGCCTCAAGGTGAATTTCGTTTAGAGTGGTCCTGAAGCCAGTTTTTGGGTTTTGAATAGAAGGGAGGGTTATAAACATTGTCAATGTATTTCCCATCTGTGTCCCATTGGGGAGATTTCCCTTCACTTTGTGTCCCATAGCCACAAAAGGAAGTGAGAGGAAATTTCTCCAAAGTGAGAGAAATCGATAGTGGTCAGCAGGGTCACCAGAAATAGTGCCCCCCTTGAAGATTCCCTATCTGGGATTTTTTTCACTCTCACTTCCAGTGATATAGGGTGAATCTCCCTAACGGAGACACCGACCGCTATAGAAACCTGACCTGTGTTCTAATTCCTCTCTACTCAATCCAAAAAAAAATGTTTTGGCTTCAGTTGCACTTTGAACTAAGCACATAAACTAAGTGAGTTACAGTATATAGGTAACTTGAATTACAAGTTTCTACCACCTTTTGAGAGCTGGGCAGTATATTTGGTAAATGTTGCTCTGAGGGCTTGTTCCGGCCTAGTGCGATCCAAAAAATACTGCATGCACTATTTTTTTGCAATCACATTGGACCGCAACACAGGCATTGTTGATAGCTCGGCCCTCATCTCCTGGCCCCCTTAGACAAGTAAATAAGGTAGGGATGGCCCTGTCTAGCTGCCACCACAAATGGAACATATGAAAATACTATTCACTAAGTCCTAATAAAGATGGCTTTGAGAAACCATGTTTACCCAGAGACCAAGACCAAATTTACATCAGTGCTTTTTAGTGCAGCACTTTAAAAAAATGTCTCCAGGCCCCAGCAAGCACACTTTAACAATAATTAATGGTAATAGATGTACAACATCTCTAAAACACACTGTACTGCTACTGTCAAACATAAACAATGTTTTACAAGGATTAGACAGTGAGCAAAAGTGTGCCAGTGAGCTATAGCATGCCCTACTCAAATACCTTGTTTTTAATTCTTTCACTTATAGTTGCACTGCTAAAGGCGAGTTAAATTCATTAATCCACCTTCGGATCTTAGATCAGTCCCAATTCCTGTAGCTTCAGACCTCAGATTAGCTCAAATGCTGCAACTTCAGACCACAGACCATCCCCAATTCATGCACCTGCACACTTCAGATCAGCCCCAAACCCCGCAAATTATTATTCTAGCTCAGGGTGGATATATGTATTAAAACTACCAACACCTGTCTCTCTCCTTATGGTCACTGTACTCCCCCTACACCAAACACACTGCTCTCACTTCCGCTCTATGGTCCCCCCTGTTTAACATAGTGACAATCTTCATGAGGGCCCGGTGCATAGCCAGAGACACCACTAGAGCACATTGCTTTGCCACCAGACAGGATGAAATGTCCTCAATGCAGGAGGGGAGGCAACCAATGGCAGAGGATGCTACTGAAAAAGGCATTGCATTCAGTGCCTGCCTGGGCACATGTGCCAGGGTTTGTTGACCCCTGTTCTATCATATAGCTCTGGACAGAAGTAACAAGATACAGACTACCCTTGCATTACAAAAATATTATTTTCTATGCTTTAACTGAAGTATTCTTTTATAAATGATATCAAAATAAATAATAATTGAAAAGGGGGGGTACTATTGCACATAAAACATGCCCCCATAAAAAAATGCCACATGCAACCTGTGACATGTTTTGTGGGGGCATATTTTATGTGCAATAGCACATATCTTTCAAAACAAATGTCCAGATTCCATGTTAGTGCAACATCCATTTTATTGATAGTTGTCATTCAAACGGCAAGCGCGTTTGGGGCCGCACAGGGTCCCCTCATCAGGCTTGTCGTTTGATTGACAACTATCAATAAAATGGATTTGCACTAGGGATGCACCGATACTGATACTAGTATCTGTGCTGATAACGTGTATTTGGGCAAGTACTCGTATTCGTCCAAATGCTCTGATACTTACCCCTCATACCAGAACTTCCAGTCAGAGGGAGTTCTCCCTCTGCCCAGCAGTGCAGAGGGAGCCGGCTTCCTTTCCAATCAGGAAGCTGGGCGGTGGGTTATGACCCACTTCCTGATTGGCTAGGAAGCCAGCTTCACGTGTTCCTAACCAGTCAGGAAGCCGGCTGGCATGTAGTGAACTGCCTCCCGACTGGTCAGGAAGCCAAGATGCCTAGGAACAAGTGAAACCAGCTTCCTAGCCAATCAGGAAGCCGGGTCATGACGTGCCGCCTGGCTTCCTAATTGGCTAGGAAACAAGCTTCACTTGTTGGTAGGCAGCCTGGCGTCTTAACCAATCAGGAAGCTGTGAGGCAAGTTCTGGGACGGAAGGGGTCGTGGCGTTGCATTGAAGTCAATGGCACCGCAGCCACGCCCCCCTGTTTTTCAAACTATGATCCGGCCCCCAACAATGTCTGAGGTACAGTGAACTGGCCCCCTGTTTAAAAAGTTTGAGGACCCCTGCTTTATATGGTCACTATACATTCACATTGAGGTATATGGTAACCACATTCTCACATTATTTTGTTTGTGACTTGTGAAAGTTAAAACTAGACAAAGATCAATGATGGGGAGTGAACAAATTAGCATGTAAGGTGTCTGATGTTTGTTAGATGCCAGTTAGTGACTTGTGTGTCAGAATGGATCTACATCCCATTACACGTGAAACAGTGGCTTGTTTCAATAGACAGTGTTACCAAATGGCTATTTACTATCTGTCCAATGCCAGGTCACACACTGACAGCTAACATACACACACTGGCAGCCATCATGTACAGTTGTGTGAAAAAGTGTTGGCCCCCTTCCTGATTTTTCATTGTTTTGTATCTTTTGGTCTACTTCCCTTTGTCAGTCAAGTCTTATTTAAGTGATTTCTTGATTGCGAACAGGTGTGGCAGTAATCAGGCCTGGGTGTGGCTAGAGAAATTGACCTCAGGTTTGATAAACCAGAGTTAAGTTATGTTTTAACAGGGGGGGGGGGAGTGACAAATGTGCAAAACAATGAAAAATCAGGAAGGGGGCCAACACCTTTTAACACAACTGTACATGTGCATTACAGCTTCTTGGGAAAAGTCCAAAGTCGGTAAAATGTTTTCCAAAAGGTTGCATTAGGTTTTAATGCTTTCTTGCCTTCACAATCTTCTCACATTTACTCATTTGCAAGCTGTAATCATCTCAAAAAGGACAATGTTTATCATGATTCCTCTAGCCAAAGGAGACAAGCTTTTTGCCCTGGGCTTCGCCGAGAGCAGCAACAATGTCAAGTGGGCTTTTATAAACTACTACAGCAATCTGTTTGTATGGTGATTCTACAATAGTCTCATTAATTCAAACTGAGCTGATGGGACCACATTTCTGCTTTAAGCAAATTTTCTCTTTTTAAGAAAAAACCCTTACAACATAATGTGAGATGTGAGCAATTACAAGCTGGAACTGCTGCACTGGACTCGGGAAATATGCACTTTATAAGGCCTCGCAGGAGTTGTTTGTCATACCACAAGCACCCTCAACATCTGATTTCATTTTATAGTTTCTAAAATCGATGGACCTCTATATGACTGTGGCTTGTTCACTCCCAATCATTCCAGAAGAGTAGTAATAATCAGCTGTATTATTCCGACTCAGAAGTACATTTAGTTCCCGTGTCTTCGCTTGCCGTTAATTAACAACGTGCTAATTCTAAACTGTGGGGAAAAGTAAATGTATCTCTTTTTTTCATGCAGTGGTCCATTGCCTGCTTAGTGCTATTTAAATTCCGGAGCTATACTTGCTTGACAGGATACTGCACTGCTGCAGGCTACAGTTCTCACATAATGCCGGAGGGGTTATTACAGTGGAGGATTTCTAGGGAGGACAAGAAAGCAGACGTACCCCTTCCCGAAGGCACCTCATTAGCACAGTGTAAGCAGCCAAGGGAACCGTCCAGATCTCTCTGGGGTGATCTTTTTTTTCTTCCTGTAATAAAATACAAGGGTGAGTGATAAATCACTATAAGCCAAGCTCTGCAGCAAATTGAAGAGTTACAATTATTACACATAGTTTGCAAAGCCTACATTTGCATACATTAGGATGTGAACAATGACTAAACATTTCAGCACTTCCGTTGTTATCACAGTGTCTTGGTACATCTGCACATCGAAATCAGCAATATGTTTAGTCAATGAATAGTTAAGTTATAACCACTGACGTCACATTTTGAACTCATTTCTGTGCTAAATATTGTAAAATAAACATCACAGTTGTTTAATCTGCGACAAGTATGTTCTTTGCAGTTTTTATTTAGTGAATTATGCTATTATATCTTTATTTTCCATCAAAAATAATATGTATTTTTAATATTATTTTCTATTTATGATTTTCTTTTCTGTTAAGGTACTGTATGTACTGGGACATTTACAAACAGCAAACAGCTACTATATGTCTTGAGCCAATAAAACATTCACATAGGTTATATTCTTCTGATTTGTGCAGTATGCATGCCTTGCTGATCTATCATTTTTATTTATCCAAAAAACTGCTGGGATTTGAGTGCTTCAATATATATCTGTATGTCTGTATGTTCTGGATAAGTGCACCAGTGCCCAAATTATGGACTATAAAGTTTTAAGAAATTGAAGCAGTAAGGGAGCTTTAAGGGCCGGTTAACACTAGAGCGTTGCGCTAAAGGCATGGTATCCTTGCATTAACCACACACAATAGGTACACTGGTGCATTGTGTTGCTATTCATTCTTTAAGGAATCCTTCCGGCGGGTGTGGGTTGACAGTACTACAATGGCGTGGGTTGAGGTGCCATGCCATGAAAAAGAATGATGCATGCACTATTTTTATTCACCATATGGCATTGCATGCTATTGCATTATATGTTACAGCACACACCCTCCAGGAGGTGCGGTGGGATGCCATTAATATTAAATGGCAAGGCAACGTACCAGCCCACCTAACGTGTGGTGCATTGCCCTGTGGTATAACATGTTCAAAACGCATGGATACTCGGTCTTTAGCGCAAAACTCTAGCGTGAACCGACCCTAAAATAAACTCCCATTGACCTCTCAAGCTGCATGTATTGGGAAGTAATGAAGTAATTCATCCTCAAAGATCACAAGAGAAACTTCAAAGTTAGGTTTAAGGCCTGGTTCACATCTGAAAGTGTGCTCACCGCGTTTACTTTCAGATGTGGTTTGATTTCAATGGGGTGATATCCACACGGCAAAAAGGCTCCTGCACCTTTTTGTGCGCCCATGAACCGTGATCCAAGAGAGCTCAGGACACATGCTAACTATCAACTCCAAAGTCAGAACTTTTTTCTCATTTAATATGTCATTGAACAATAGGGAGGTGTGCATTATATATCATAAGTAATGGATTTTATTTCATTTTATGAGAACAGCTACACTGTCATAACAATGCACAACTGTCCAAAGCATGCATAACGCCTGTACACTCATTCTAAGTAGAAACAATTTGCATTCTGCCTGCAAATATTTGGACACTATCTATTTTACCTTCCGACTCTAGTCAGTGCTACCGTGTAGTTAGAGGGCTACAGACACTAAGAGCACAAGGTCTTGGCATCTATATTTACGGTATGTGCTCTAAACCTAGGATAAAACAGTTAATTATGCTAGTCAGATTTGGACAGGAAGTCCTTTCAAACTCAAATGCCAGTCAATTAAGAATCAGCAGGCACTTTTAGGGCCCAGGTAACTTTGCATCTATTGCCAGCAAGAGAAAAATATCAAACAAGTTTGGCTGCTTGGCTCCTGAGAATTGTGAAGCGTTGAAACAGAGCACATCTTACAAGAACTTCAGATTTATAGCATGTCATTCTGATAATTTAATAGCACTCAATTTTCTTTGCCAATAAGGAAAATAAAAAAATAGCAGTTAGAAGTTAAAAATAAGCAAAAAATTTAAACTTAACAAAGAACATCAAACCTGAATAGTACGCCCTAAGAAATAATTCAAACTTTAAAACACATGGTGTCATCCAGTGATTTCCCAGATACAAACGACAGGATCATTATCTTTGTAGCAATCCTTGGCAAACACTGACCGAAGTTAATGGTTTTCTGCTGAACTTGAAATGTGTGTTTCCAGTCTAGGGTTACCTTTTATTGAGCAAAACATTTCACTGAAGCAGCAGTTTGTGTCATTCAATTCTCAATCGATCTTTCTACTTCTAAGCAATTTAAAGTCAGGCTATAAACAACACAATTAGCATGCAACGTAAACACACATTCTAGAGACCTATATAATCACTATGACTGCTTCCTAAATTAACAAAGGTAAATATCTATCACATTTGTTATTTAAATTATAACAAATGTAAAAGAAAGAAGACTGAACCTTCACCCAAATGTTAACTTAAACTTTAGGCTTTGGTGCACTTACACTTGTACTGTATTCTGCCCCAACCCCGATGGATGTCTTATACTCTCCTGTTCCTGATCCAACAAGATGAAGCCAGCAAGTCAATTGTCAAGAACTTCTGAGATGGCCCGCTTATTTGCGGCATACCCTTGAATCACAGACTGCAACAGAGTGCAAACTCTGTGCAAGACTACATGGAAAGTCTACTGCACCTGTGCGAGCTTGGCTAAACATATTTTAAAAGGGGACTTAAATACTTATCTTTTCTGGAGAAAAGGTTACTTTCAGTGGGAAAGGTTGTGTCCCAGAGATGCCCTAGCAATTGGTATCTGCAGTGACCTCATGCAAACGTCTATGCGAATGAAGACATATTCTAAATTCAGAACTTGAATCATATTTTTCAAAAGCAATACTAGGTGGCAACATAAATCAGATTAGGCACCCTCACAAATCAGCACATACTTTGCAACCTGTTTCTGACATACAAATATCATAGTGGGAGGTCTGGCCTCTACTGGTCTTTAAATGTGATGGGCATGGAGGTATGGGAGGGGGTAGGCCAGTCCTAAATTTTTTCCCCACATACCTGGTCCTTGTGTATTAGAGTATCATAAATTCCCAAGGAGCTTAGAAATAGACAAAAAGTCACATGCATGAACTTTACATAGCTCTTTGATGGGATAGAAAGATTACATTTAGCATACACCTCTATGTACCACAATGTAACGTGGACATTTCTCCGTAGGTCGCCAAGACATGCACAGGGGTAACACGGCCTATGTAAGTTCTGTGTAATTTCTGACATAAGGAAAGTCAGCACTACTTACTACATGGTCTTCTTATTTGGAGTGCTCTTAGTATGTACAAGCCCTGGTTTTCCATAATTTTTCATTAGGACACATAAACTTTAAGATGACGCCTCCCAGTTAAAGACTCCAATTCAGGTTGTGCCATGCTGTTCCAAATTGTGGAAATAGATTTACATGATCCCACGCTTCTTAGTTCTGCAACCTACCCACCACTTTTTCTTTTTTTTTACTGATGCAGGTCTGAACAGCATACAAAAATAGCCTTTCAACATACTTCCATTAGGGATCACACACAATACATTTCTATGAACAAGAAAACATTCACATGCAATTAAAGAGGGAAAGGCAAAGAAAGAAAGTTACCACTGTCTTTGGGTTTTTTTTGTGTGTTTTTTTTGGTCAGAAACATTTTAGTGCATTTTGCAAGGATGGTAATAAGCCATTCCTCATGTAACAACTAGACTCATAATCTTTAGGCTGGGATCACGGCTTTGCATCGCGTTACTGCAGACGTTAGTGCATTGTGATTCTGTTTACTTTCAATGGTACCCCAATGCAACCCCGATATATATATATATATATATTCATATTAGACATGTGCGTTGAAAGTCGATTCATTTTGTTATTTGGATTGGTCCGAATCTGGAAATTCTAGTTAATTTTGGATGCATTAGACACATTTTTGTTGTAGCAAAGTGACATTAGAAATAAAAAACAAGTGGTAGGAATTTTAGGGGGGACCCCCAAAGCCAAAAAAAAAAATCCTTACCAGACTATTGATGCGAGCAGCTGCCTGGCAGAACAGGAAAGGGGGAGGGATAAGCATGCATACTCCCACTGTACCATACCAGGTCACATGCCCTCAACATGGAGAGGGTGCTTTGCCATGGAGGAACCCTGTAAAAGCACCTTGTCCCCATGTTGTTGAGGACAAGGACCTCTTCGCCACAACCCTGGCTCGGTGGTTGTGGGGATCTGCGGACAAGGAAGCTTATCTAAATCCGCCATCCTTCCCCCCTCCTCGTGAATTAGTAAGGGACAGTTGTTACCCCTACTCATTCACCAAATAAACATTAACATTGTAAATAAACACACAAAGTTCTTTTTTTGAAAAAGTAAAACAACACAAGTTTTTCACAAGTCCTTTGTTAAAAAAGGTAAACCCAATCAGGTCGTCCAGCCATGTAGATCCACCTCAATCACGATGGATGATGGTCGCCGACTCACCGAAAGAAAAAATGCTCAACACCCACCAACATGACCAATCCCAACAAACTCTCTCTGCAAAATGAGCTCTGATATGAATGTCAACAAAGGGGTGGAGCGAGTCATGAAGTCACAAGAATTGTTCCATCCATTTGTTGACATTCAGGAGCAGAGTTATTATTATGACAGTTCTCCTCCCAAATGTCAACAAAGGGGTGAAACAATATGTCATGACTCGCTCCACCCCTTTGTTGATGGTTGTGTCAGCGGCGCAAGGTATTATTTCTTTTTTGGAGAGTCGCTGGCCATCATCCATCATGATTTAGGTGGATCTATATCGATGGATGACGTGATTGAGGTTTGGATTCATCGATGGAGACTTTAAACATTTAAAAAAAAAAGTACTGTGTATATGGTGCTGTGTGTTTATATACAATGTTACTATTTACTTGGTACATGAGTAGGGGTCCCTTACTCATTCATAAGGGGGGCATATGGTTGCTGCCTTTATGACAAGGGGCACCCAGATGCAGAAAAGCCCCCCTGCCTGCAGACCCCCATAACTACCGGGCCAGGGTTGTGAGGAAGAGGCCCTTACCCTCATCGACATGGTGCTTTTCCAGGGGGTCCCCCCTGGCAAAGCACCCTCCCCATGTTGAAAGCATGTGGCCTGGTATGATGCAGGGGGGGGGGGGCAGGCCCCCCTCCCTTTTCCCCTTTACAGCACCCAGATGCAGAAAAGCCCCCCTGCCTGCAGACCCCCATAACTACCGGGCCAGGGTTGTGAGGAAGAGGCCCTTACCCTCATCGACATGGTGCTTTCCCAGGGGGTCCCCCCTGGCAAAGCCCCCTCCCCATGTTGAAAGCATGTGGCCTGGTATGATGCAGGGGGGGGGGCATGCCCCCCTCCCTTTTCCGCTTTACCTGCCGCTCAGATCAAGGGACTGGTACGGGATTTTAGGGGGGACCCCACACATTTTATTTTTACTTTGGGGTCTGGTATGAATTGGGGAGGGCTACTATGCTTTTTTATTTTTTATATTAACATTTAATATGAAAGTGCATTCCTAATGCCATTTGGGGAAAAATTCAGGCACTTCCGAAATTTCGTTATCGGAAAATTCAGAAATGTTTGGATTCATTATTTCTTTCATTCAGAAATTTGGATGCATCAGATTGTCTTAATTTTCAAAAATGCGTACAAATTTCAATTTGAAAGGAAGAGAGAGAGATATATGGTACTATATGGTAGCATGTAAGCCTATATGTAAGTGGCTGACGAATGCAGTGATATCACCCAGGAAAAGCTGGTGAAAAGCACAGCCTACTTCTCCGTGCTAAAATCACAGCCTACTTCTCCGTGCTAAAATCACAAGATTAACTGGCCTTCAAATGATAATCACAGATAAAATATTTAACTCACTTGAACGGCAATAGTATACAAAAGCTCTCCGAGAGAAGGCAAGAGGCATTGTTTTAACTTGCTGTTCCTGAAATTGTCTCTAATCAGCTCAGTCAGTAAGGTGATTGCCTGCAGAGATATTAAATGTGTGCATAAATTAACAGAAAATAGCATCATTAAACTAATCTGCATGAAAAACAACATTACACTGTTCATAAAGTCAAGAATAAAACATTATAACTGGAATGTTTACAAATGGCATAAAAACATATAAAACACAGGTAATTAAAGGCGGTCAAAGTAAATCATCTTCTACAAATGTAAAAAAATAAAAGGATGTCAGATTGTCACAGTTGTACAGCAATTAATTGCAGATTGCTATCTTGATGTGTAATACTGCAGCTTGTGGTAAAAAGAAAACAAGACAGGGGAATTTTAAAAATAAGGTTTAAAAAGTCAATACTTTTTTGCCTTATTTCTCAAGCAGTCTTTAATAAACCATTTGGATCCAAACACTGATTTTAAAAAATTACGTTAAATTACGTTAAATCAAGCTCGTCTTGTATGCCATTAGCTGCCTCAGTGTTTTGCTGAAAAGCAATTATGATACAGCAAACATTGAGCTCACTGCTCCAGTCCAAAGCTATAAATCCCTTAACAGGAAAAGATGGGTGAAAATGTAGTATTTACATATTCTTTGAGTGTTGTAATGGTAGCCAACTTGTTTTTCAGTTTTGGTATATCTCCTTCATCAGGGCTATAAATGACTAGATTAATTATTGGTGGATTAAGCAAGGTGCCATCATTACTAGTGATGATAGCTTGCATGTTACACCAATAATTTATACCTTGATAAAAGAGGATATACCAAAACCCTCACACATATCAGATAAGTCTACAACAATGAAATAAAACATCCTTGAATAAGAAACATCCCTCCATCTTTTTCTATATATAGCTTTGAACCTGTGAAATGAGGTAGAGTACACACAGTTTATCGTACCATATTTTTCCCCCCACTATATGCAAGGTCCTTTTTGAGCCATGACACTTTGTGCATGTGAGCAGCCTATGACTTGTCATGGTTTCTGTTATGGACCCAGATTCTTTTCTCTTCCCTGTCGGTGTTTTCTAAGTCACTGACCTGGAACAAGTATGTAGTCAGTAAAGTCAGAACATCTGATCTGCAAACCTGTTCAAGATCAGTAAGTATTAATGTCAAAGAGTTACCATTGCAGCCAGGCAAGTAGCATTGTTAGAAGAGGTCAGCATTGCCAATTGATATATTACCCTCCGTAAAGGCTTTCTTTTAGTAGGGATATCTATATTAAAATATGTATAGCCAACGTAACGCAGATTCCAGGAGACTCTTGTCTCTGCTGAGCAACCTAGCTTTCAAGGACTCATCATAAAACATGCCTAAGCGTGCATTGACTTGGGTTTTCAGCGCACTAAACCCGTTAACATTAAAGCCCACCTTCACATCAGAGTCTCCCATTTATATCAGAAGCCCTCTCTTCACATCAGAGTCTCCCTTCACCTAAGAACCCTCCTTTACATCAGAGTCCCCCTTCACATCAGAGTCTCCTCGTTACATAAGAGATGCCAGTCGCTTACATCAGAGTCCTCAGTCCCCAATTCACATCAGAGCCCTAACTCCACATCAGGAGCCTCCTCTTCAAATCACATTATAATCAACACAACATCGCAAAAAAAGTCGGAAAAAACTGAACGGACACGGAAGTCAGAAATGTGACATCCATTCCATACTGCTCTGCTCTGATCACCAGGTAATCTGTGCATGGATCCCCTGTTGTTCACAAAGGAAGCTGCCTGTGTGAAAGGGGCCTTAGACAGGAAGTGTGTTACTGGCAGGATCACCAGGTGAAAATAACACCTAAAAAGAAAGAAAAACAATGCAGCCACCACATTTAAGGATTGGTCAACTGCAACATATTACATTTTTGTTTTTGGGTTAAGATATGCTTTAAAGTGGACCTTTACCCATATCTTTAAAATAACAAAAAACACACCTTTAGAAATGTTTAGTATTGGCATTCTAAAAACACATACTTCTAGATAATTGCAGGCTTTTTATTCTTTTCATACCTTATTTTGCTATTCTTCCCCAGTCTTTTGACCGTGGACATGTTTACTAAGGGCAGATTACTAGCTCTGCTTTTACTTCCTTGATTTCTGGCACATGTGACCATGCTCATCATCTCAGGGGAGGAAAATGCCTTTCCCTGAGATCTTGTGAGATTACAGATGAGATTTCCCAGCAATGTTCTGCTGATGACAAGGCAATCCCAGCGTGCATTACTTTGGCAAACTGAAGTCATTTTGCCCTTTCAAAGCAGAAAGTGAATGCTCTGCAAGTGAAAGTATTTCAAAATCACAGCATTTTACACCTGACATGTCTACAGTATGTTATTATTGATCATCATACATAGAGGGATGCATTGGTAGAATTAGATTTTTGAGTGTAAAGTTCTGCTTTAAGGGCAACCAGAACATTTCGTACAGCAATGTGATCCGGATTGTGCCACAATAAATAAACCCAAAACATTTAGTGCACCGACAGTGGGATTTTCTATATCAATTCTTTGGGTTTATCTAATATTTATCTTTATATATGTACATATATATGCACATATCTTCAAGCTCACATACAAATATACATGTTTCTACCAAGCATTTATTTATCGAAGGACCAGATCATCATCACTGGCAAGTAAGATGAGGAGAAAGCTAGCCCTGGCATTTGGATTTGCTTGCCAGTATTATCTGAAACACACTGTGGGCTCAACTACAAGCAGAAACTTTTTTGTAAATGTAATTAATACTATTTATTGATTTAAGTGGCACTGCCAATTCTGGTGTGAACAGCAGCTGCTGCATTTACCTCTCAACATGAGATCACCGCTAATCCCTTAATACCAAAAATGGCCCCCTTGCATTAGGCAAAGCAAAGCGTTATATAATTTACACTTTGATTTCTGAAACAACTCAATCAGCAAACTGAAATTTTAAAACTATATTTTACTACTGTCAGGTTTCTCCTAAGAAAAGGAAATACTTGCAATTCGTCACAATACAGTTGAGTACTGTGAGTACTGTCCGTGATACTTTTTTGTATATACAACAACAGTAAAATTGTCAGGACAAGGGGTGTCTAAAGTCCAAGTAGTACCCCCCCACCGAAAGCTTTTTCTAAAGTATCACAAATAGTGCTCAACTGTGTTGTTGCAAGAGTACTAATACAACTACAATCACCTTGCAATTTGTCCAGAGCTAATGAAATGTAAGGGAAAAAATGGTATAAATAAATAACAAAAAAGGTAACTAGAAAAGTCTAACATATCAGCCCGACAGTCAAAAAGAAGTATATGCGAGTTATTCAGTATTTTTTGATTCAGTATTAAATAAGGCTATACTCACACTTGGGGACAGATGAATTGAACAGCACCCGAGTACAATTGTCTCCACTGGTTTGCGCTCACAGTGTATTATGAGGAAGCATTCCTGGGCACGCTTAAATCATCTCCTCACAAGCAGGGGCATCACGACTCTGACTAGCCTTTTTGACACGGAGTCACAGAAGCCATACTCCTTCTCCTCCTTTTGTACCCGTTATAATATCTCCAAAACAAATTTTCTCCACTTCTCCCAACTGACACACTACTGGAAGAGTGAAACACGAAACACCTCCTATATATTGAAGACCAATATTTTAGACCCCCTCATCCTCTCCCAAAACTACTCTATCTCTATGATCTACCCCCGTCTCAACACTGCTTTCCTACTACAACCGTCAAAATCCTCAGTAATGAAATGGCACAAAACATTCCCGGCAGATGACTTTTATGACAAAATGCTCCAAGGGTATCAGAATGTCAGAAGTTGCACAACGAATGAGCTCTGGAGAGAGAGACACAATTTCGTATTTTGCATAAAGCATACTATGGCTTTGACTTTTTTCTTAAAATCAAGGCTCCGACCCCCTATTTGCAAGCATGCCCAAAGTGTAGTCTCTCGGGTGCTGATCTGATCCACTGCCTATGACATTGTACAGGTATATCGGCTTACTGGACGGAAGTTGTCACCCTACTGACTAACATTATGGGGCTACCAATACCACAGGAACCTTGGTTGTGCTTATTTAGTTACTGGGACTCACCTCCCACCCTAAAAAAAAAATCATCTCCTCTGCCAGCCAGACCACAGTGAACCCTCCATCCCTGCTCCCTGATCCATGAGATTTCAGCACTTGGCCACTGTTTGCACTCACACTGAAGTGAACCAGACTTGAAGTAAACTGTGTACCAGACCACCTTTTCCAAGGGATCCCAGGTACGAGTAGTATTATACACTCCTTTGTTTTTAAGTGAATGCAATCTTAGCAACCTGGTGAACAATTAGCAGTACATAATTTCCTTTATATCTAGCCACAAATACTTATATAATTTGCTACACACCGCCACTGTCTCTAGGTTGAAGAGTGCCACTTCCCCCAATGTCTGGACAGGGGAGCACGCACCCTGGGTACTTCTTTTGCACAGTGCTCTAGGGCAGCGGTCGCCAACCTTTCGGACCTCAAGGACCACTAAATTCATAATTTTAAATCC